TGGAAGGAAGGGATTCTTCTCCCAGCCTTTGAGACTCAGAAGTGGGATTCCTGGACCAGCAGTATCAGCAGGCCCTGAGAGCTTGTTAGAAATGCAGACTCCCAGGCCCCATCCAGACCTACTGACTCAGCACCTGCATGTTAACAAGACCCCCAGGTGATTCCTAGGCAAGGTGGTTTGAGCAGCACGGTGCGAGGTTGCCCTTTCCCAAAACAGCCTTTCTACACTGCTGGACCAAGGATATGCTACCCAGCAATGTCACCCACCTAAAATGCAGCCCCTCTGCTTCCCTCAAAAGCCTTCAAAGTGACGAATTAGTAACCAGAAGGTTATGCAGTGAAGTTCTTTGCTTTATAAATCAAATACTTAGGCTTCTCCAGAACGGAGATAGAGGCCAGGCACGGTGGCTCACACCTGTAATCTCAGCACTTTGGGAGGCCGAGAAGGGTGGATTGACTGAGGCCAGGAGTTTGAGACCAGCCTGGCCAACATGGTGAAACCTGTTTCTACTAAAAATAAAAATACAACAACAACAACAACAAAATAGCCAGATTTGGTGGTGCACACCTCTAGTCCCAGCTATTCAGGAGGCTGAGGCAGGAGAATCACTTGAACCAGGGAGGCGGAGGTTGCAATGAGCCAAGATCTCCAGCCTGGGAGACAAAGTGAGATTCTGTTTTAGAGATAGAGATTAGGACGAGAAGGACTCAAAAAACAAAGTAGTCTGGGGCTTTTGTTTAGGGGCAGTGACAGTCCAAAGGCCCCCAAGGCATTGCTGTTCTAAGACTGTCTGATACCTGACACTACAGAGATGACCCTGAGTGATTTCACAGAAAGTTAAATTTATGTTCATTATTCCTGGATCATTAAAAGGAGAATTGACATTTTAGATATTCTTATAAAAATGTTGAGGAAGGCTGAATGCAGTGGCTCACGCCTGTAATCCCAGCACTTTGGGAGGCTGAGGCGGGCGGATAACGAGGTCGAGATCGAGAACATCCTGGCAAACATGGTGAAACCCCGTCTCTACTAAAAATACAAAAATCAGCCAGGTATGGTGGCATGTGCCTGTAGTACCAGCTACTTGGGAGGCTGAGGCAGGAGAATGTCTTGAACCCGGGAGACAGAGGTTGCAGTGAGCTGAGATCGCGCCACTGCACTCTAGCCTGGTGATGGAGCAAGACTCCGTCTCAAAAAAAAAAAAAACAACAAAAACAAACAAACAAAAAACAACAGTTGAGGAAAAAACTCCTAGTACACAAAAGTCTTCTAGAAAGTTAATGTATGTGCTAGAATACTTCCTTCCCCCAATAATACCAGAGACATGTGGCTGTCCCGTATGTCCACTCACTCTCACTACGTATGTTGCAGATGAGCTGACCTCTCCCATTCCTGAAACCTCCCTTTCCCAGTCAAAGTATTTTGGGTGATTTCTGCTGCTGGTTGATAAAACACACAAGAGTCAAGAGGTTTTTTTTTTTTTTGACTTTTTTTTTTTTTTTGGTTTGTTTTTAAAGAAACTGCATACATCATCAGAGACAAACAATAATTTAAATGCCATGCAGTTTCTGTATGTACAAAACCTAGGCCACAGAGATCCAGTTTAATTCGTATTCTCTATTTACATCGTTTTCCTCATACAGCCATCATCTGTTAAATTAGAACCCGGGAGATCAGGGGATTGACGGTCACCACACTCACTCCTATACAAAGACAAACTATGTACAGACACCCAGGAAGCAACTGGAAAATGCAACCGGTCTGGGGATTAACAGACAGATAGGGAGAAAAAGTCATTGAAGGTGACCTTTGCCCACCGGCTGTGCACAGGGAGAACCTGAAATTCCATTCATCGAAGCAACACACCACGATTTTCATTCGGCAAATAAAAATACATGTTGATAAGCGGGAGAAAAATAAAATCAGAGCTTTTCATCACATTTACCGTCACGTTGTTTGGTTTCTCTAATCTGACATAAAGGCTAAAGTTTTAAAAGTTTTACAGGGCTTTGAAGGGCCTCTGGAGATGAATATATCAGCCATTTAAAAAAAGCTAGTAGGCTGATGGCGAT